CAAACTATCGCTCATGAACACAGATATAGAATGGTTTTTCAAACCGCCAGCCGCACCTCATTTTGAGGCAGCTGGAAGCCACTAAATCAAATTTTCAAATTGTCTTTCTTCAAAGTTATCGTTTCTCAAACACTGCATGATAACACTTCATTCCCGGTAGGCCATTCATTAATGTGCCCTCTGGCATATTTATGGACAAATCAGTCACTCTTTCCAAATCGTTGAAAAACAGTTTTGGAATCAGTTCCTTCGTGAGTACCTTCTAGCAAAGCATACTCGGACCAAGTGGAGCACATCTTCCAACAACTTGGCAGTCGATGATCTTGTCTGGGTAGTAGAAGATTATTTATCAAGGGTTTTTGGCCTCTCGCTAAAGTTCTCGAGCTTCACATAGCCAGCGAAGAAACAGTCAGTATAGTGACACTCCAGACTTGCCAAGGTAAAAAGGTACGGTCAGTAAATAAACTGTCCAGAGTCTTCAACAAAGAATGGTTTTCGTTGGCTTCGTTTTTCCGTTTGTACCTTCAACAAGCCCCTATATTTGCGTACCAATTATTGCAAACGCTTTAATAGTCATTTCACTACCTTGATTGCTTTATCAAATTTTATTCAACAACAGCTTTTCCAACCAAGTTTACTACGTTGACTTCACTCAACCGAACAATTATTTTTTTTACTATTTGCTACACTCGCAAATGGGGCGGGTCTAACAATGACTGATACTGAGCAGTTCCAGTTGTTTGTTTTTCAACCTACAACTCGTTCTTAAATATAATTGATACAGATGTTACCTTGAAGCTTCACAATATTTTGAAAAAATAACAATTTTTCAGCACCTCTCGTCAATATATATATAATTTCGTTTTATATTCTATTCAATTTTTTTGTAATATTTTTATTTTTTACCTATTAAAAATTTTTGAATTTAGCTTATTGATAGTTTTTGGAACAATCCGTAAACTTGTCACTGCTCATTTGAGTGTCTTCTGGCCAAAAACCTTCCATTGCTTTCCAAAGATGAAGCAACGACTCGACGCACTGTAATGTTTTCAAACTGGAAAAAATTTAAAGAACATTAGATGAAGCTGAAAGGACAAACGACAAGCCTTTTACTAGCTACATATATGTCACAGCGATGACTTTTTTATCTTGAATTGAAATGATTTCATTGACTTTTACGGTCGAGAACTAGAATTGAGAGTTTTATAATGAGGGAAACTTACACTGTTTGCCCACATTTCGTCAATGTGATTTCCATCAAAACACAACAATCAAAAGTGAGCACTGGAGCATGGAGATCAAACATAGCTTTCCTCTACAATTTTAGGTACATTATTGTTAATACATTAATCTCATCAGAAATATGAATTTACTAAAACGTCATGTTTTCAAACAGAGTTTCAAATTTCACATTAGTGCTATTTCTTTTCTTTGTTTTTCGGTGAGCTCTTCATCGAGATTCAGAC